CCTGCCTAAGGACGTGGTTGTTCTGCCTGCATTCTCCGTGTGTTCTCTCTTGACTGGCACAGACTCCCTCTGTGTGGTTGATGGGAGTGATGGGTGGAGGTTGCTGCTCGTATCAAGGCCCTGACAAGGCAAGCTAAGGCAATTTTCTGACTACTTAATGGGAAGTTTGGAGTTGGGTGTTAAGTGTCCAGGAAATTTACTTTGCCTGTGAGCAGATATGACATTTGTTCACTATTTATTCAACAAATCTTTATTGAGCTCTATCGTATGCTAGATTTCATTCTAACTGCTTAGAGTAAGAGACAAAACATCATTTGTGACTTCAGGAAGGATACCTTCTAGTTCCTTGTATCAACAAAAAGAAACCACATTAATTATCGTAACAGTGAATTCAGTACTGGGAATTAGCAAGGTGGGTGATGGATAACTGAAAAGGCAAGAGACTCAGGGATGCAGGTAGCACGGCTGGGTCCAAATCTGAAACCCTTAGAACCAGTGAAGTCAATGGCCTCTCAATCTGAGGCCAAAGGCCTGAGAACCCAGGGAGCTGCTGGTGCAAGTCTCAACATCTAAAGGCCAGAGAACCTGGAGTTCTGATGTTCCAGGGCAGGAAAAGAAGGGTATCCCAGCTTTGGAAGAGAGAGTGAACTCACCTTTGCTCTGCCTTTTTGCGTCTCTCTAGGCCCCCAGAGGATTGGACGGTGCTTGCATATGTTGAGGGTGGATCTTCACCACTCAATATACTAATGGAAACACCCTCACAGACACACCTAAAAAAATGCTTTACCAGCTCTCTAGGTATTTCTTAATCAAGTTGATACCTAAAATTAACTATCACAGCAAGAATTGTTATCTCTCCTTTTTTTTCTTTTGAGACAGAGTCTCGTTCTGTTGCCCAGGCTGGAGTGCAGTGGTGTGATCTCTGCTCACTGCAACCTCTGCCTCCTGAGTTCAAGTAATTCTTCTGCCTCGGCCTCCTGAGTAGCTGGGATTACAGGTGCACACCACCACGCCTGGCTAATTTTTGTATTTTTAGTAGAGACGGGGTTTCACCATGTTGGTCAGGCTGGTCTTGAACTGCTGACCTCGTGATCTGCTGGCCTCAGCCTCCCAAAGTGCTGGGATTACAGGCGTGAGCCACTGCACCCGGCCTGTTGTCTCTTTTGTTCACCAATGTATCCCCAGCGTCTAGAACGGTAGACACTCTTGGAATGCTTGTTAAGTGACCAGATGGATGAGCTGTTGCTTAGTTGAAGAAGAATAAGAACGTTCTTTTGGGCAACAGGCTAATAAAGCTAATAAGGATAATATGGTGTCTGTTTTTGATGTTATTGATCCCTCTCCCATGTAGAGAGGGGGTGCAGGAAGAAATTGAAGGAAGTGTTTTAACAAACAGAATTTGGGGAATTGGGTTTCAGGAGTGACCCTTTGTGTTTAGTTGAAAAAGTATGACCTGGGTGGAGAGAGGACATTTGCAAGGGCCTTCACTTTGAGGTCTCAAGAGTTGGAAGCATAGAGGACATATGTAGGCAAGACTTTGCCCCAGGGCAGCAGTGATGTCTCAAAAACTATACGCAGTTTGGCTCTGCTGGCGTGAACATTGATGGGGGTGTGGAAAGAAAAGTCAGCAATCTCTCCGTGTTTATTTGTAAATGTAATCTCAATGTTCCATTTTTCATCAATGACACACAAATCCCTCCAACATTATTTGGGTTGTACTCCTCCAATACCAAAATTCTTATTTGACTGTCATCAGAAAAAAATTGATAAAAAGATGACATGACTTTAAAAATCTACAGCAAAGTACTTCAAGAGTAATTACATGAAGATATTAGTTTGGTTCAATGGCATTTATCCACTCAGAAAGCAAAGTCCTAGACTACCATACTAAATAACACCCGATCCATAAGTTACTAATCTTATAGCCATATGGAAATCAGATCAGTTTCTCTGATTCAGTCTTACACACTTTCTGTTTAATTCTTAATACTCACCACAGACTTTGGTCTTGCTTCTGTTTTTTTATTACAAAATAATAAAAGTATACAATGGTAGGTAGTTATATAGTATATTGACAGTCCAATGTTCTTTTCACACTTTTGGTGGGGTTATGGGAATTGCATTAATTATATTTAAGGAAACTTTCCTTTAGAAATATTTAAAGAGCCTTACTTGTGTGTAAGTAGGGTTTGGCCAGGTTGAGCAAATAAAAATGCAGGACACCCAGTTAAATATAATTTCAGATAAGCAATGAGTAATTTCTCACTATAAGTATATCCCATGTGATGTTTGGGACATACTTATGCTACAAAATAACCTGAAATTCGAATTTAACTGAGAATCCTACATTTTATCTGGTAACTCTATGTGCAGGGCATTTTTTTCTGGGCAGCGAGTATTTGCAATGTGGAGAAGGTCCCTCTCAGGCCAAAAATACAGAGGGATCAGAAATAACCTGTTATGGTTCTACCATGTCTACTCAAGGCAAATATAATCAATCTGTGCTTTATCGTTTGATTTTAAAAGTTTTTAAGATAATTCTAAAAATAAATGACTTCTCACTAACTAATCAGCATGTACAGAAGGTGTATCCCCCTTTAAGGCATTGTTTCTACAGGAAAAGTTTTGCCTCAACATTCCCAGCCTGTAGTTAACTCTGTTTTAGGAAATATGTTCCTTGTCACTGAGACCCAGAACTGAAAATTCATTCTGTTACTTACCTACTGGTGAGATTTCCAAGTTAGGATTAGAGCTGTGGGTCTATATTAGTTACCAACCATGGAGTGAAATTTTTACTGAAAAACAAAGGCTCGTTTTATTAGTTGCAGTGGAATTCAGCAGGTGAAGCTTTCTCTAGCAAGAGTATCTCTGCTTAGTTTTGATTTTCCTGGGAAGAAAACAAAGAGAGGCTTGTGCACCAATCAAACACGTGGAACGCTCATTGTTTTTGCAGAGAAACAAGCAGGACTGGAGTTCAAATGTATTATCTTGTATAAAAATCCTAACACATCCACCGAGATTTTTAGTATCACGCCAAGTCTCCCTGTTACGTTTCTTTTACACATGGAATTTCCATTGGTTTAGCTCTTAAAGAGGTCTGAAGCAGAAATGTGTACCTGTGGAAATCATATGTTTTATTTGGATTCTATAGGAGAAAAGAGCTAAATAAGGCACAATATTATTTCAATTAGAAATGTATTTACCTCAAGAAGATAGGAATCAGTGCTAAAAATATTTTTGTACGATATACAAACATAAAATTAGATCAAAATCCTGAGGGAAGAGGGAAATGGGTAATTACTGTTTAATGAATACAAAGTATCATTTTGGGAAGATTAAAAATTTCTGGGTCGGGTGCAGTGGCTCACACCTGCAATCCCAACACTTTGGGAGTCTGGGGCAAGAGGATCGCTTGACCCCAGGAGTTTGAGACTAGCCTGGGCAACATAAGGAGACCCCCATCTCTTAAAATTACACACACACACACACACACACACACACACACACACACACACACACGAATTAGGCAGGCATGGTGGTGCATGCCTGTAGTCCCAGCTACTTGGGAGGCTGAGGTGGGAGGACAGCTTGAGCCCAGGAGGTAGAGATTGCAGTGAGCCCAGATAGCGCCACTGCACTCCAGCCTGGGCAACAGTACCAAATTTCTGGAGATGATGATGGTGAGTAAGACTTGCACATCATTAGGAAGGAAATGGCACGATAAATTTAGTAATTAATTTTTCACTTTAAGAGAAGTTAAGATATTCATAGAAAATATCTTGCCTTTAATAAGCTGTAGAAGAGTTAGGAATTATTAATTGGAGATCCTTGGCTGACCTTATTTATCACTCAATTTATAATCTGTAATTAATGCAAGTTTACACCAAATGGTTAATATAGCAGGGAGTATGCTATTATGATTGCTCCCAAGTATAGATTAGTTGATTTTGCCACAAATTTCTATATTACAGGATTTAGTAGTAATTTAGTAAATTGGCACTAAATTATTAAGTATGAGGCTATAGTTTTAGATACAACTGCTAATGATATCAATGTTTATGTTGGTGGTAAAAAAAAATTATGAAACGACAAATACCTATGTATGAACTAAAGAGAATGTAGAATGTGTAAATAAACTTTATGAATAACTAACCTTATTAGCTCTGTTAATTAACCCATCTACCTAAGCCAGTTGGTGAGTATGGAAAAAAAAAAGTAGGACAATTTTCCTTAAAGTTTTCTCTCCTGATTCAGATTAGCTTGTCCATGATCTACTGTCACTCACAAATGGATTCTGAATAGTTCTCAGAGTTCTGCAGTCAGGCTGATGCCATTTACATGGCTAAACTCCAAAGATCAGGAGCTGAGTGAGAGAAGACTGAATAGTGCACTTTTAAGGATTTCACAGTAGTTTCCTTAGGTGTTGCACTCTTTCTACACTCAAAGGTCAGTCAGTTAACTGGGAAGATCAGGACTGGGAGAGGGGATATTTTCAACTAGTCCCGTCTCTGGGACGACCGAGCTATTTGGCCTTAGGAAAATCACTATGCCTAGCTGGAAGGACATTTAGTTCCTTCCTCTGTTGACATGCATGGTTACCAAAGTCTCCTTCTAGCTTTACACTCTGATTGCATGATTCTCCCCACCTGTGTGATTTTAATAGTAAAGTCATCAAACCCATGGTAATTGTGAGAGTTTCCCTGAATGGACCGGATAGCCATGGAGGCAAATCCTTCTTCTCTTCTTGAAACTGAGGAGAGAAAGTGGCTCCAGAGCTCTGGCAGATGCTACAGAATGAGGAGACAACCTTGTGTCTTGTGAATTGATGTCTTGGGGTTTGATTGCTAGGAGGGGAAACCTACTAAAATGATTCTTAGCAAAATGGGGGATTTACTGGAAGGACACAGAATTTTCATAGAACTTAAGGGCAAAACATTTAGCTGGATCTCACAAGGGACTGGGGAATCAAAAACTGAAAAGAAGGGAACTAAGATGATCACCTCTCGGATAAGTCTTCTTTTTCCATCTTTCTCCCCTTATCCTGATTTCCTTTTCATCATTCCTGTTGCTCTCCCTTTTTTCCCATCAGTTTTGAAGAACTTACTCATGCCTAACCTAATTCTAGGTTTAGACAACATTTTAATTAAGCATGCAAGAGTGGAGTCCTGTAAGTGCATTGCAAAATCCATGCATGTGAGACTTTCTAGGCCTGTTTGAGTTTAGTGTTCATACCTGGTCTTGTTTGCTGTGGCAATGAGTACGCTTCATTAAGCTCAGTGCCCATTCAGAAGGGGCTCTTGGAGCACATTACCTTATATAGGGATTGGACATAAATACCCTCCTTAAGATTATTTTGGTTGCAAGCAACAGCAATCGTCTTTGACTAGCCAAAAAAGAAAAAGTTTTGGAATTATACAGGGATATCTCCTGTAACCAAAGGAAACAGGGCAGGTCCTGGGTCTTTGGCAAAGGGTGTTAATAGATCTTTTCTATAAGGAAGTGCCATTTGTGTGACTCAGTTCTAATGAGTAACTATATTCTCTTTGTGTTTCTGCCTCATTTAAAATTTCTAGGGCAAAGAGTCTAAATGGTCTGGTTTAGGATATGCCCTCATCTGAATTAATCTGTTATGTAGACAGGGGGCATAATAGCGCAACCGACTTCTCTCAGTTTTCCCAAAACTATCCGAGTTTGAGCACCGAAGAGTCCAGCATCCTGGTATCCCCCTCAGCCTTTAGCAAACCAGAGTAGCTGGTCACACTAGGACATGGTCACTTGTGCATATGTGACCCATAAAAGGGCTTCCTTCTTCCACAGCCATTCCTACAAAAAAAAAAAAAAAAGAAAAAAGGAATTATGGGAAGCTATAAGGAAACATTTCACAGAGCGTCTATTATATTCTACTTCTTGGCATCCATTGTGGACACACACACACACGCACACCCACCCCACACACATCACACCACATACACACTCTTTTCTTCCCATCCTTTCAAAAATATACCTCACCACTGTGCAATTCAGTTATTTCACGTACCACCACAAAAGGTTATTTCATGTATTAACCTTCTCAATGGGAGAAAACCCAAAACTGTGACATTTTACTTCACTTAGAGTTGATGTTCTGTCCTTTAAGTACAGAATTTCTACATGATAGCCATTCCTCATTTTCTACTATAATCCTACCTTCATATATTGCAATGTAGGCCTTTTTCTGGCAAAAGGACAGAAAAAGAAGTGAAATTTATGTATTATAGCATTCCTTTTTAAAAAGGCAAAGAAAGGGCTTGGTGTGCAAGAGAGGAACACTAGTAGCAAGCAAAACAAACAAACAATAAATGCAACAGTCCTCTTTACTGTAGCTGGTATTGAAGCTTCCTTCTTGGCCCATTCCATAGTTCCCTGTGACTTCAGTTAGCATATCAGTTGGTTGGGGTGATTTGCTCAATGGGGCAACCTGAAGGGTATGATCCCTTGTGGTCCTGCCTTTATAGGGTTGTGGTAGCCATCTACTGCCTTTACATCTGGGTATGGCAGTTTGAGAAAGCACCCTCAAGGATAAAGCATGCCATTCATAATCCATTATTTTTCTTTGATGACTAGGACAATCCCCCCATGACTCATTGTTTTGTCTATTCCCTTAGATGATCCCACTGATTCCGTTGCAAGGAGTCTCTGAAGTCCAAAATTTTAAGCACAAGGCACAACGTTCTTCATGAGCTGGACTTATTTCTTTGCTAAACACTTTGCTAAACTCCTGGCCAGCTACCTGTGCAAGCCAAGCTCTCACTCCATAGCATCCTTCTCCTCTGCATGTCCTTCTCCACCTTGCCTGTCCTTTAACTCTTATTCATCATTTACTTCAGTCTCAATTGAAGAGTCATTATTTCTAGAAAGGCTTCTCTGTCCCGCTCCCTACACCGCACCGTTCCCTACAGCACCACCAGAGTGCCTCTAACCCTTGATGGTTTCATTGCTTTTCTATCTGTGTTTCTGTGCATAACGTTCCCGAGGAAGCGGCTGCTGTTTGATTTATTCTATAGCTAGCTCCTCGCCCTGAGTGTAAGCTCCACGAGAGCTGGGGCTGTCCTCTGTTCATTCCATCCCCAGCCCCTACAGCAGTCCCGGGTTGTTCGCAGGCCGTATATAGCAGGTGATAATAATCTGAATGATGAAAGAAGATACACCGTCTTGCGGCGTGATTTACTTCTGTTTTTACTTATGTCTACCTTCAGCTAGATTGTGAGGGCAGAGGTCAGTGTCTGAGTCATGTTGAGCCTCACTGGGCTTGAGCAGAACAGACGCCTGGTCAAGCATTTGCACACTGGTCGATGGATACACTAGAAACAGCAGGAGCGCGAGAGGGGATTCTTTTGGCGCCTACCTCGCCCTTTCAGGCCAAGCCCCCGCCCTCATCCCTTGCCCGCCGCCGCCGGTCGGCCGTCGCCCGCTCCCGGGCGCTGGCGATCCCGCTCCCTGGTAACAGCCGTCCTGCCAGGCCGGCCGGCCGGGAGCGGGCGGGGGGCGGGACTTCCGGTTCCGCTCGCGACGAGGACCGCGCCAGGCGGAAGCCCGGCTCTGGGCCAGGATCCGAGAGTCCGGACTGGAGGTGAGTTCGCAGCCGGAGCGTTGCAGGCACTTGTTTCCTCAGTGGATGCCTTTCGGCGCGCTGCCGCCGGGCGCCGCGGGACTGGGAGACCGGGTAGGGACGGGAGAGTCCGCACCTCCCGCGCGTGTGGAGGGAGAGCCGGGACCCCAGGCTTGGGAGAAGGGCCAGGACTGAAAACGGGGAACTAGGAGAGCCCTAAGGGCAGCCGTGAGGGGCTGGGGAGGGAGGCAGTGGGAACCCTGAGGCCAAAGAGGCCCTGAGACAGGAGGTTGCGGATGACACGGGGCAGAGATGCATCTCCGAGGAAAGTAGTCATTCGTGGGGGCGTGTCCCGGGTCCTGGCGGATTGTCTGCGAGAGTGGCATGAGATGGTAAAGCTTGGCTTCCAGGGAGAGGATAGAGAAGAGGGAGTCAGTTCTCTGAGGGTCGTAGGTGAGAAGGGCGTCTTGACCTAACGAACCAGAAAGATGACCAGCCACCTATTGGATGCTGAACTCCTGTTGCTTCATTTGCAATTCATGCTGGTTTTTAAAATTTATTTTTATTTATTATTTATTTATTTATTTTTAAGAAATGTATCCCGCTCCGCGCGTGTGGATTTCGGAAAAATATTGTACATTCCTAGGGACCGCTTGAACTCTTGCTTCACTCAGATTCTGCGTTTCTTTGTCAAACTGATAGTAGTTGAAAGTCCTCTTCAGCCAAGAAAGCCAACCAGTTTTCCTTTTGGACTCTTCTCTACCCTGCAGAGTTTAGCTTGTCATATTTCCTTTGTCATGGATTGAACTAAATGCGTTTAGAATTATGGTGATGACCTCATGGAAAGCCAGTGCTGTCAATGTTTGCAGTTGCAGCTCATTGTTTTTTTGCCTAACTTTCTAACACATTTTTTCTAAAAGTTATTTTGTTGGGTTCATTCTTTTGGTTTAACCAGTAAGAGCAATTTTACATCAGGGTGCAGCAAATTACTAGCAGTTCTTAAGATTTTACTGTTCCTTTTTATTTCTGCGATAAGGGAAATATATATATATATGTGTGTAAAACGTGTATGTATATATATATGTATATATATACACACACACACACACATATATATATATATAAGTATTTGCCATTGTCAGTGTTTTTTAAAAATATTGATAACCCAAGATCTATTGTTACATACACATTTAGTTTTCCCTAGTGGCCAGTGTTTAGTATGTGGGCTGATTTTTATTACCAAGGGTAATTATTAATTTAGTTACTATTTACATTGTATTTATGTGGATGTGATTAATATGTGCTTCCTTATCTACATCATATAGTGTCTCACTCAGTGTAATTACAAAGACTTACTTAGCTTTTAAGTATTGAAGCTTTTAAGTTTGTGAATTGAATTTTTGCAAAAAAGTGGGCAGGGTAGCTAGGAAGAATCATAACACTGTCATTGGTGGAGCGTGAGATGTGATGATTGCTTTGCTTGTTTCAGATATTTCACATTTCAAATGTTAGAAGATTTTGTTTTAAAAATCACCGTATTAATACAGGTAGCTTTTAGGTATGATTTGGTGGTCTGACTTGAACTAATTCAGGAAAACTATAATATTTTGTATTTATTGGACTGCAGTGTCTTTCGAGCTTATAAATTATTGATGGCCTTGAATATCTATGCTTGAGTGAAATACACAGTTAGCGTCCTTATGTTTTGGAGGACTGCTGGTATTTACAAGTGTAAAACAAGACCTAAACATAAACAGTGCCTTAGCATGTAAACGAGCATATTGAATAATTTTTCAAATTACAAAATGAAGAGATGACACTGATCTCTAAAATAATTGAACTAACTGCCATGTTAATTTCTGTATATGTCTTAATTTAATCTTATTTCTTTAAGTAGGCAATACTGTTTATCTGATAAGGCTTGATTTTATTTTTTTTCCACCTTTTCCCATGGTTTTTGAGAAATAAAGCACTTGAGAATGCATGCAAGTCTTTAGACTCTTGTTCATGATTGGAGGAAATGCTCATTGTTAAAATACAAGTGCACCTGCCTTCTTGGGCAAGTTGGGCTAGCTATACATATGAATGGTATGTTGACATTTGATTGCCCTGTGTTCTGGAAAATCTTTGGAATTGTATTCTTTCTTCTAATTGTTTAGTAAATTTAGCTTTCTCTTTAGATAAATTATTTTTGTTATTCCATAGGCTTTAGATGTATTTTACAGTTTAACCAATAATGGCAGTTTTCCATTATATACCGTGAATTACTAGTTATTCTTATAGATTCACTATTTATTTCTGCTACAGTGAAATATGTACAGTGTCTATATTAGAAGAACTATCAAAATAGTTGTAACCAAAACACCATCTTTATATACACATACTTAGACATTTGTCTTCCTTAATCACTAGTTTGTAAAATATGAAGTAATTTGCTAAATTGAACTTGTTGGTTCTATGCCCTTTGGTTATCAATTTTCTTATTATATAGTACATTCTCAGTTATCTGCATACCCTAGTTAGAAAGCCATTTCCTGCCACTTGTTAGAATCAAGAAGATTTGTTACAGCTGGGAAATACAGTTTTTGGGCAAGGAACCACCAGACTGTTGATCTGCTAACTTATGGTCCAGCTGCCGAACTGCCTCTGATGAAGAGCATAGCCCTTAACAAGGTTGACTCACACAGGGTTGACTGCTTTTAGTATCATTTTCTGTCCTTTTCCTCTGGTGAGTTAGACGTTTTCTCCAATAGTGACCAAGATGACTAGGACCTCAGAGTGATTCAAAAGGGGATGAGTCACTGCAGTCCTGTTAGTAGGGCTCTGTCCATTCTGACGAATCTGATCCCATAAATCTTGGCAAATTTTCCAGTCTCTAGGCATGCAGTTATGACTGTTAACCTCTTGTTTAGATTATTATTTTTAAAATACTCTTAATACTAAATCATAATTTGTTGGATTATATAAATAGACTCAGTTTTGCTTTGAGTGAGGCGTCACATTACATTATAAACTTTTCTATTAAAGTGATAGGTTGTAACTCACAGTGGAAAATATTGTAGAAAGCACACCAATTGCCCTTAACCTTTGTTGTTATTTTTAGTTTTATTTTTGATTTTGAGAGCCTAAGGAATAGAAGAACTATTGAATAAGTGATTTGCATGGGGGTGGGGGAAGTTGACCACTAGCAGTGACCTACTAGGGGTCTTGATGGCGGGAGCTGTCTGTTATAGTTGGAAAGAGCATTTTAGCACTGAGGTTTCAAATTGCCAGCTCCTGGTGATAATACAGCAGAAAGACTTTTAGTTGGTTTTATTATAGTTTTTAAATTCCACACAGATGATGCACTCCTTTGTTACCTGCAGGGGGCTGGGAGAGGAATCCCTCTCACCTCTTGTGTGAATGACCTGGAAGAGCTTCTTGAAGCAAAATAGTACCAGTTTGATTTTCACTGTGTTAGTGTATAATTATGGTTCTCCAGAGAAACTGAACCAATATCACATATATGTATATATATTTTTAAAGAGATTTATTTTAAGAAATTGGCTCATGTAATTGTGGGAGTTGGCAAGTACAAAATTTGTAGGTCAGAGCAGCAGGCTGGAACTTTAGGCAGAAGTTGATTCTGTAGTTTTGAGGCAGAATTCTTTCTTCTTTGAGAAACCTCAGGTTTTGCTCTTAAGGCCTTCAGCTGATTAGATGAGTCCTAACATTATGGAAGGTAATCTCCTTTACTTAAGTCAACTGATTGTGAACATTAACTACATCTACAAAATATGCTTATAGCAACACCTAAATTGGCATTTGATTAAATACCTGAGTGCTATAACCTAAGCATGTTGACACATAAGGCTATCCATCACAGCATTTAAAATACTTTTGGTGTATTAAACTAATATGCGGCATATACAATATTGCCTAGTGAATAGGAGAATATTGATATGATTTGGCTCTGTGTCCCCACCCAAATCTCATGTCGAATTGTAATTCTCAGTGTTGGAGGTGGAGTCTGGTGGGAGATGATTGGATCATGGGGGTGGAACTTTATGGTTTAGCACCATCCCTCTAGTGCTGTCTCATAATAGAGTTCTCACGAGATGTGTTTGTTTAAAAGTGTGTAGCACCTCCCACTGTGCTCGTCCTTCCTCCTGCTCCAGCCACGTAGGACACATCAACTTCCTCTTTGCCTTCTGTCATGAATGTAAGTTTCCTGAGGCTTCCCCAGCTATGCTTCCTGTACAGCCTGTGGAACCATGAGCCAATTAAACCTCTTTTCTTTATAAATTACCCATTCAGGTAGTTCATTAAAGCTGTGTGAGAACGGACTGATAAAACTATTGAAATTCATAGCCCAGTTACTTTTTAAGGGATTTAAAAACAGTGAAAACCTGAGTTTTCATTCATCTCAAATAAAGAATGGAAAATTGACAGTTTAATGGCCCTTCCACTCTCTGAAATTAAAAGTTACTCTCTTTTTGTGGTTTTAATATATATATTTGATATAATTATGTGCACATCTGTATATATATAAAATATGTGTGTGTGTGTGTGTGTACACACACACCTTTTTTTTTTTGTTTTTTTTTGAGACCGAGTGTTAACCTGCTGCCTAGGCTAGAGTGCAATGGCACGATCTCAGCTTACTGCAACCTCCGCCTCCCAGGTTCAAATGATTCTTCTGCCTTAGCCTCCTGGAGTAGCTGAGATTACAGGCACCCACCACCATTCCTGACTAATTTTTGTGTTTTTGGCGGAGATGGGGTTTAACCATGTTGGCCAGGCTGGTCTCGAACTCTTGACCTCAAATGAGCCACTTGCTTCAGCCTCCCAAAGTGGTGGGATTACAGGTGTGAGCAACTGCACCCAGCTAAATGTTGTATATATTTTTTAAATTTAAGGTGTTTAAAATTTTTTTCAATTTTGTAACAATTTTTTTTGGCTGTTTTTAAGTTTATGGTCTTGCTAATCCTTTTGCTTAAATATTTATATCTGGGAATTAGTTTTGTACTTATTTAGTCTGA